CCTAAACCCAAAGCCCCAAACCCTTGAGTCGGTACCCTCGACCCCAAACCCGAAAGCAAGCAAGAAAAACACCCAGAAGGTCTAATTTATGTTGGGGCCCTAATGATTTAGGATGGGGCTCCCGTAAAGGGATCCTTGAAGGGTTCTATAAGAGATCTATAATAGGGCTCTATGTATATATATATATATATATATGTTTTTTTCGGGTTGATAATTAGAACATAGGGATTTGAGCTCCTATATAGTAGAATTATAATCACGAACCCCCAAAACAGTATTGGTAATTATAACAAGGCCCCTCTATTATGGGCTCCTACATAGTATCATTTTTGTAAGGAACCCCCCAAACTAGTATTGTTAAGTATAATAAGGCCCCTCTATTACAGCTCTCCCAATAGCCGAAGCAAGCTTCTTCCCATCTTCCTCGCCGTAGCCCACGAGGCCCACCGCATGATCCTGGGTTTTGGTTGGACTCTCGGGTTTCAGGTTGAGGTTCAAGATTTAGGGTTTAGGGTTTATTGTTTAGGGTTTAGGGTTTAGTTTGTTGACTTGCGTGAATGCTGGGGCTAAGGATGACAGAAGCGTTCTACACCTATATATGGGGAGATGGCCATACACTGGTGTTCTGGTGGGGTTTGCCTGACATCAGAACGCTTATTGCAGGAATCGCCGAGAAAGGGAGCGATAAACGCTTGTTCAGTCCTTAAAACTTGTAATATAGCCGCCGCCTCCACCTGCGTGGTAGCAGGGTTTAGGGTTAAGGGTTTAGGGTTTAGGGTTTCTTTTTGTATCACCTTTGCCTTCGCCTGATTAGGGTTCAGGGTTGTTTTTCCAAGATGGCACTGGCCCCAATGTCCCCAAAGCGATAGCAATCGCGATTGTCTTCCAACGGGTAACCCCCTCCGCCCCCCCGCGGTAGCGCTCGCCATCTTTTTTAACGTGGCCCCCCCTCTCCCCATCCGCGGTAGCGCCCGCGATTTGTTTCTACAGGCAAGAGGGTATATAGGCCCAAAAATCCCCAAAGCGATAGCGCTCGTAATTGTTTTTCAAGTGAAAGCCCCCCCACCGCCGTAGCTCTCGCGATTCTCACACGCAACGTGGTTTGAAAAACGAGATCGTGCAAAAATCACGAGCTCGAGGTCTGAAAAAACGAGTTCGTAGCTCGTTTTTTCAGACCACGAGTTGGTGAAAACATTGCACCAACCTTTTTTCAGACCGCGAGTTGCTGAAAAATATTTTTTTCACCAACTCGTTTGTTTCAGACCGCGAGTTCGTGAATTTTTTGTTTTTCACGAAATCGTTGTTTTCAGACCGCGAGTTCGTGAATTTGTTTCACGTTTTTTCAGACCGCGAGTTCGTGAAAAAAACTAGTGTTTTCACGAGCTCGTTTGCACCCGCCAGTTGGTATCCGCTTTCGCAAACTCTGTTTTGCAGGGGTTACTCGGACCTACTTTTCGCAGTATCTGCGTTCCTGCGCACAACTTCATGCAGGAAGTGTCGGCACTCACAAGCCTTTGCGTCGCCAACCGGAGCGACATGAGATGTTGATCAGTCGCAACAAGAAGCACCACCTCATGTCTCGGCCCAACGCAGTCAACATATTGTTGCAAGATCGGCCTCAGACCTCCATCCCACCCATCCAAAATTCCCCGAAATACATTCCCGAAACATATACTTACACGAGACGCCAAATAAACAAACCACAGATACAAGAATACATGAAGCGTTAACACGCCTTCCATACTTATTCTGCGATTCGCCACTGGGCTCTGGTAGTGTGTGTAACGCTTTCTCCGGCGCTATTTCTCTGGAACACCTTAACAACAGCATTCACGCAAGTTAACAGTTTAGTTAGGCTTTAGGGTTGTATTGTTGAGGGTTCAGGGTTTAGGGTTGAGGATCATAGAGGTCGGGATATTTGCTCATAGAGCTCCCTCATTGTCTGCGCATAGTGTTCGGCAATATACCCCAAACCCTATTCTAAATGCTGAGGCCCCCTTAGCATTGTAGAACTAGGGCTTCTACCACCAAAACATACCCCAAGCCCTATTCTGACTGCTACGGCCTCATGATTATCGGCACTAGTGCCTCACGAAGGCGTCTTAACAACGAGCAATGCTGTTTCCTTATAGTCCCGACATGATTCCCCAAACCCTAAACCCTAAACCCTAAACCCTGAACCCTAAACCCTAAACCCTAAACCTAAACCCTAAACCCTAAACCCTGAACCCTAAACCCTAAACCCTAAACTGTTTCCTTATAGTCCCGACATGATTCCTTAACAGAAACCCTTAGGGGCTCCGTTAAGGCTCCAAGGGTTCCTTTAAGGGTTCCCTTTAAGGGCTCCTTTAAGGGTTCCTTTCGGGGTTTCCTTTACGGGTCCCTTTAGGGGTTCCCTTTAATGGCTCCTTTATGGGTTCCTTTAGGGGTTCCTTCAAGGGTTGCTTTAGGGATCCCTTTAAAGGAACCCCTTGGAAACTACAGGTTCGGAGTGTCGGGAGTTCGAGGCTGTGCATATTGCGGCCTCCAGGTTGCAGGCTTTCGGAGTTTGAGGTGTAGATTTAGGGTTTAGGGTTTAGGGATTAGCTTCTGTGCTTGCGGACTAAAAGCAGCTTTGTACACTTCTTTTTGGTTTAGAGTTCAGGGTTTAGGGTGAGTGTGGCTGGGTATTGTGAGACCCCAGCAGGATCAGCCGTTGCTTCC